CCTGTTGCTTAGCATAGTACATCACAACTAAAACAAGTCCGTTGAATCAGTTGGGATTTGATGAGTCAACTCCCCCATATGTTCAATGGGTCTTCTCTCATTGTGACTTACTATCCTAATCAATAGGATTTCAGCCATTATCTTTCTGATGTAACACACCAGCTAGTGTATCTTCCTAACCAATTTGAAGTTTTAAAACTTGTTAAAAAGAAAAAGCTGAACTACTTGGCATTCGTAAGATTCTACCCCAAGTATCTAGCAGCACAAAGCAAAGCACACCTATAGGTCCTACTGAAGTGAATCATATTTACTCCCAGATAAGAGCATACAGGTTTCAACCTGAGCAGGCCAATCTTTCTCATGAATACCTACAACATCAGAGACATAAAAAAATCCCACCTGGCAAGGTTGAAAGAAGCATTCATATTTCTGTGCTAATTCTTTCTTTTATAAAAAACAAAACTAAGAATTCCTCTCCAGTTTCAAACCTCTTTTTATAGGAAGAAAGTATCAAGATACATCACTCTCTTTTGGGCTCTAGCTGTATTATTTACAAGTTACTTACGCTACCTTTGACCAGTCATTCACAGCTCTGATCTCGTTTATAAAAATAAGAAACTGAGTTATGCACCCAGTGAGCCTCTCCATTAACTTCAGGTTTTCAGAGTTATAAATATTAGGAAGCAACAGATAAATAAGTGCAGAACAGATTCATACAGAGTTCCCTCTCTGTAGTGCAGCAGAATTCACCTTGTGTCTTGAATTCATTACACTGAGCATTTCTCCTCCCCAGTGATGTCAAGAAGGGGAAGACACTGGAAATTTGACAGTGTCATGACACTGTGTAACTGTCATGTGAAGTGTTCTACAGAGAAAAACTTGACAAGCCGTTCCTGTGTTGTACTATTTTCTCATACATCTATCTAATTTATTTATTATTTCTGTTCTTTCTAGCAACCAAGGATAACTTGTAATGATAAAAAACAAGTACAATTGTATCTTTTAAAATGAAAAATGTTTTGTGTCACTCACCACAGCAAAATATTTTTTAAAACACAATGATCTCCGATTAACAAACAACACTAAGAGTATTGTACAGTAATTATATACAGTATATGATAATTTTTGAAAGTTGTTTAAGATTTCTAAGGCTTGTTTTAAAATAAGCATTTCACCTGGTGCTGCAAATCAAGACAAGAATATAGCAACTTGTATGCCTTTTTGAGCAGAGCATTCCAAAGTTGTGTTGTCATCAGTAAGCAATCCCTTTTTCCCCACAGACACTTGCCTTTCTCATCTGGAAATGGTACCAATAGAAAGCCTGCTTCCACCACAGTGCAATAGCTGCTTGGGTGGAGGCTTTTCCTCACACGCACCTCGGAGGAGAGGTGAGTGCAGGATGTTATTCCACACAATTTGTGAGGAGGACCAAGGTGCTTTTTAAGGCTGCCCTGTTCTAGTCCCAGGTTTTTTCGAGACACAAAACCCACCTGCCCTTTCTGGGTGCCCAGTGTGAGACTAGCTGGTCATTTTCAGGGCTGGACAGGAACTTTTGGTCTGGCAGATCTGACTGGCATATTTTGAAAAGATGATCTGGGTGTTTTTTGCTTATCCCACACTAGAGTATGCCCTGGGCTTTACCGGACAGATTGGTTTGGATTGTCCTTCAGACAGGTCACATTGGCAGGTAGTGTAGAAGGTGAAATTATTAGTGAGTTCCCGTTGGGGCACCAGGAGGTGCTAGCCCATTCAACATCCTGAACCTGTAGATCCTGAGATTATGGTGTCAGGAGGGGGATGTGTGGGGTCCTCCCCAGGTTGCAGTCAGCCTAAGGTTAAGGAAGAGGGCAGCTGCTGGACTGGAGAGGTTGTACAATCATTGGTTGGCCAGGGCCAGGCTGTCTTGAGGACAGAACAACTTCAGGTCTTAGAATTCACTCATTCAAGGTTCAAGAGCAGGTCATGTGGGACCCGCCCCCCCCCCGGCTCCAAACCAAGATTGTGGACTATGGCAGACCCCTCTCCTGTTGGTTATGGGAGTCTCAGCATCACCATTTTTCACCATATTTCAAAAAAAATAATTTTTATCTGTTAGCTTTCTTCACTGTCCAGCTTTCACACCCATATATGGTGATCGGAAACACATCAGTGTGGATCTCGGTCTCACATCCTTATACTTGATTATCTTTTCTACTTCCTTCATGACTGCTCTTCAAAATCTCAGTCTTCTGCTGATTTCTTGGCTAAGTCTCCATTTGGATTGATAGCTGTGCCAAGGAATACAAAATATTTAACAATTTCAATTTCTTCATTGTTGACATTAAAGATGTGTAGCTCTTCTGTAGTCATGATTTTTGTCTTCTTCATATTCAACTGCAGACCAGCTTTGACACTTCCTTCTTTCACTTCCCTTAACAGTTGCTGGTTTTAGGTTGGTTTTAACCATATTCCAGGAAAGGTTCATGTTCTATACATTGGACTGAAAAAAATCACTAAAATATTTCAATTGAAACTTTGGGATTTAGAAAGCTGTGCTCCAAAATGTAACTTTTCCAAACTCTGATTTCATCACTCAGGGAAGATAAGGCTACAGGCAACATATTTATTCCTCCTACTTCTCATTGGCTCACTTTCGTCCATGTAGACATCTGTCTACAAAAGCATTAATCACCAAAGTCCCTTTAAGTATTGGTACTTTTATCTGCACATCTTAAGTTATTGATGTGTCTTCTACTGATTTTTCACTCCTCCTTTTTCTGAATCTAGTCCAGCTTTCAGTATGATATGTTCTGTGTACAGACTAAAAAGGGATAAAATGCACCCTTGTCTGACACCTTTGCCTACAGGAGACCATTCTGTCTTTCCATATTCTGTCCTAACAGTAGCTTCTTCACCACAATACACACAATCATAACAATGAAGTGCTGAGGCACACCCATTTCTTTCAGAACAACCCATGGTTTCTCATGATCCACACAATCCAAGGCTTTGCTGTGGTCTGTAAAGCATAGATTGGTCTTCTTCTGAAATTCTTTGGTGCATTCTGGTAGCCAACAGTTATTTGCACCCAGTTTGAACATCAGCCTTCAGAAGTACTAGAATAATAGATTTTTTTTTTAAAAAAAGTAATTCTGCCATGGAAGATTAATGCATCAATTTCCAGATTTTTGTCCCTGCAATTTCACTCCTTCACAACAACCCAATATGCCACAGGCCAACTTCTCATAATAACTGTTGACCTTGCAGAGAGGGTTTTTTGAGGAGACTAGGAGAAAGCAAGAGAATGGTCAACTGTGCAAGCTGTCTTCTGCTAATGGAAGCACTGGATACAATCCTGCATACTGCTGTACCACAGCAGGGAAATTAATATTAACATGGTTCTGAAGTATATGTTTGGCTGTGCATGTGCACACAGAAACCTCCCAGGATCTTTGTGGGACATCCTTGATATACTCACATATTGCCACCAGGCACTAAAGCAGAGACAACTGCTGATGAAGATATACGGCAACTGTATTGGCTTCACAGTCAGCATTCCAATTCACAAACTCAGTAGTACATTTCTTTATTAATCCCCCTCATTCTCTGCTTAGTAGATTGCTTTATTCCCTGGCTATTATGGCTTGTAAAACTGAAGGCACTTTGAAAATGTCTCAGTTGGAGAAGTGATGCATTTCCCTGACCTCTTAAATAATAGTTTCAGTTCGCTGTCCCCCCCCCATCTAAATCCTTTGAGTGCACAAAAACATAATTTAAATTTTGCCACTGCAGAACAAAGCAAAAACTGCAACACTTCATTTGTGTGAACTGCTTCCCACAATGTCCCATTCCCAAGCCACACCTTTGAACAGCCCATGTCTGAAAGTTAAATGGAATTATGTGCTACAATGAAAAAATGAAGATGCTTCACAGGGTCACATTAAGAATTAATTAACACCAGTTGGGTGCACTGATCTGGCCTCTGATGGCTCACGTATTCTTATAACCCTTCTACCACACAGGAACTTTATGCACCAAACGTTGCAACTGATAAGCAGACTTAGGCAACAAATATCTAAAATGCTTTAAAAAGAACACAGTTGACCCACTCCTCCATTTGTCCATCTAGCATTTTTTAGTTGCCCCAGATCCACTCAGGATGCCCCCCATGCTACAATAATGCAATGCTAGCTGCTCCAACTATAAGCTTTCCAAACTTTCCATCACACCATATGCTAGGATCCTTACGGCTGATATGCCATATACATGAAATGAGAGGAACACAAGTGTGATTTATCAATTGTGGTGTTTTGGTAAAACACAGACACCGGCACAGACACATGACTCGTGTGTATTAAAATGTAATTTTTTTAATGCCTGACTTAAAGAAGAGTAAAATGGGGGCAAAATCTGCAGCTGATTCCTTAACTAGAGGAAACTTTCTTCTCGAGACTCCTTGAGATGTGCTGAAAATAGACATTCATTGTTTTGCAAAAGCTGGGATGTCTGGAAAATGAAATGATCGTCCTTACCTTTCTAAGACAGAGAAGAAAACTGTGTGAGAGTGCCAGAATTAGCACTGTCATCCTCTCTATTGCCCATTATTGGGGGAGGGGGCTGCAAATACACACACACACACAAACACACACAGAGAGAGAGAGAGAGAGAGAGAGAGAGAGCACCTCTCACACGCTGCTGTCAGAAGATATTAAGAAATACGCCTGCACCTGTGTCAGGTTAGCATCACAATTTCTTGTAAAGATTTGCTGTCACATGAACATAGATCCACTACGTACAGGGCAATATCAAGAAATGCAATCGTATTTTGCAAACAAAATTGAGCACGAGTGATTATTACAGCTTAGGAATCAACAGAAGAGCAGCGAGTTCCCTTTACATGCAATGTCTTTTATGCTAATGCAAATCACTAGGAAAAAAAATGGGGTGGGGAGACAAAAGGAACCCAGCTTTCCCCTCCGGCATTTCACACGTTGTACCAAGCAGCCTGGTTTTGTACTTACGGATCTTAACAGCCGAACGTCTCAGGATCTTTACGGTTCTCTGCCAAACTGTGACAGGCTTTCAGAAAGCCACATTGCTCATCCAGCCAAAACCAAACCATGCGGAATGTCTCTGCTGCTACTGCTGCTGCTGCTGCTGGGAGGAACTCTTCCCTCAGCTGGGACTGCAAGCCTTTTATCCGCTGAGCCTTCCCCACGTCGCTTTGCTGGGATTAACTGTGAAATGCACAGCTTTTCCACAGCGTCCACAACAAGCCCCCACACAGTGAGGGCACATGGACCTTCCAAAAGGGCAGCTAAGGCTTGGAATGTAGCTCTCCAGAAATCCTGCACATTTTAGAATCACTTCTCTACTTGGCCTCCTTTAAGCAAAGCAAGAACAGAGAGACGGGGAGGGGGGATAGAGGGTGTGCGAGAGAGCATGAGAGCGCAAAGCTGTCTGTCACACCCTCAGTGTGATAGATCAAATGTTCTCATTTTTTAAAAAAATCATATAGAAGTGAGCTCCTGCCAGGTATTAAAAGCAACTTCTCTTCCTGAAATCTAGGTCACTAACAAGAGTATTAATTTGTGACAAGAAAGGCACGAATTTTGTTTGGTTCCTTTCCTGCAGCTATACTGATCGCTGTGTAAGATTCAGCTCCTCTGACTCTCATACAAAAATAAGGTGATTTTCTAAACTCATCAAATATTTAGCAAGCATGGTCTGTCTGTGTTTAGTTTGATGATCTGTATACATATCATCTATGTCTATATTTGTATCTATTATGGCATACACGTATACAAATATGCAGACCTATAAACACAACATTACTGACCACTCTTGTCTAAAAATGTATAATATTTACTCACGTTACCCATATGTTGCTGTGAAGGATGTAAGGTCTTTGGATACAATAAATATTTCAGCTTTCCTGCCCTTTCCTCGAATGCAGAAGCAGTGAAAATTATTCAGTACAAATGTGCAAAATTCGTAAAAATGTTCAAAACTATCCTGAGAAATGTTGCCAGTGTCATCAAAATCCATTCACCTTTGTCAAAAATGCCTGCCAAACTTTCTACAAAGGATGCACTGTGGTCATCTTGATGCATCCTTTGGCCCTTTGAAAGAAAAGATGGTTTATAGATACACACCTTGAACCCGAAAATCTACCAAACATGGAACCAGGACATAGCGGGCAGCTGATATCATGACTTTCCTTGTGCCAATGAGGCACAAGGATGGGCTGCTACAGAGGCACTGGGAATGGCAACTCTTCCCCTTTGGGACTCCTTTGGTGCAGTGGTCTGACAAAGTCCTAGCTTAAGATCTTTCCCGGAAATTATGCATGATCCCTTTTTAAGTTGGCAGAATGTTATGACTATGGATGAACTTTTTCTCAGTCTTGTGTTCGGTAATTTCTTTCATATAGCCAGTTGGTTTTCTTTATGAACTGTCTCCAACAGTTTGTCCAGAACCTTTGGAGACTGAAGAGGTCAAAACCCTATAAGAAACATGTAAGCAATTAAATGAATGCCCTTTCAGAATGTCTTAGGTTTTCTCTGTTCTCCTCAAAAATGGAATTAGGAAGCCCAAATGGTGTTCTTCATGTATAAAAGAAGTGATTTGCATTCACACTGGTGGTGGCAGAAAATGGCAGTTTAAAGATTACTTTTGGCAAAGAAGAAAGGCCATGTTTTGAAGCCTTTGGCTCACTAAGCATTCTAATGTAATCCCAAGGTAAATCCATTAGTTTGTAATAGGATTAATTGCATGCCTGCCAGAACAATAAGATATGGAAAATGTTTAAAAAACACAGGCAACAACAGATGCACATGTTTCTTCCAGACACAAAATTATATTTGGGAGGTAAACAGGGAACACTTTTGTCTAATGAAGGAAAGTAGATTTATACCAATCATATAAACAAAAGGGAATGTTGCTGAAGATATAACCCTCTAGAAATGGGCTGTTTTGAGTACAGTACTTTAAATTGTACCCGGAATATACAAATGGTTCTGGAAAGCAGAAAAATGTCAGGTTTTACTCTAAGAAAGTTATTTTATTCTCTGCTTTCATTCTGGGGAGTTTGGACTTCCTTGGTTTATCCACCACAACCAATATTAATTGACAATATTAATCCTTGTCCTGATATACATTGATTGGTTAATATGGTTCTACAAAAGCAAAGCAAAACTAGAATACATATTTATGTATACCTTTGAACTTTCTTCTTCATCATCATCATCAGCAGCAGCACTATCACCATCATCATCATGTGTCATCAAGTCAACTCTGACCAATAGCAATCCCTTTAAAGTGTTTTCTACATAGAGAACACATTGGTGCCTCGACTTACGAATGTCCCTACTTACGAACAGCTCTGTTGGCAAAATTTTGCTTTGGCTTGCTTCAAAAAATAAAAATCTATAGGCATATACTACAAGATGCCTGGAATGGGACTGTTTTCACAGCCACAGACAAGGGGGCATTGGTACCAGGTAGAAAAGGGTCCTTTCTCTGATGATTGTTGTAAGTTTTTTGGGCTGTTTGGCCGTATTCTGGAGGTTTTTCTTCCTAATGTTTCACCAATCTCTGTGACTAGCATCTTCACCTGCCTGTGTTCTGATGTAGTGTGTGGGATAGTTAAGTATTTGTAGCTGTGGGATCAGCTTTTTTGTCAAATAATTATCCCACTGAAAGTAGCTAGTCATTAGGCAGTGTTGGAAAAGGGTCACGATGTCTTCTGGAAAGATATGCTGAATGAGTGTCAGAGTGTCCTTTATTGGTACCTTGGTGAATAGGGATACTATGTCAAAGTTGATCAGTCTGTCCCTGGAGTTGAGTTTTAGGGTGCGGATCTTGTTTATGAAATGTCCAGAGTCTTTGATGTAGGATAAAGTTTATCCAATGTGGATCTGTAGGAGGGTGGCTAGGTATTTGGCTAATTCATATGTCGGAGAGCCGATGGCACTTACAATGGGCCTGAGTGGGATTGACTCTTTGTGGATTTGGGAGACTCCAGGTAGTCTTGGTGGGAGAGCTTCTGTCTTGCAGATTCGTTGAAGGCTGGTATGGTATGCATTGAAAACTGATTAATCCCATAACTGGCAGTTTTTATTCTATTTTTGTTCCATTTTGGTTTTTTCTGGTCTGTAAGTCGATTCTCCGGCTGCAAGTCGAATCTAAATTTTGCGGCCAGAGAAGTCTGTAACTCGAAAAGTCTGTAAGTCGAGCCGTCTGTAAGTCGAGGGTCCACTGTATTGCACTGAAAGTAGCTGGTCATTAGGCAGTGCTGGAAAAGGGTTGTGATGTCTTCTGGAAAGATCTGCTCTGTCAGAGTGTCCTTTATTGGTACTTTAGGATGAGGTTTTTGCAATGGGGGTCTGTGTGTCTGTCAATGGAGATTCGACCTACAGACTTTTCAACTTGCAGCCATCGTTCCAATACGGATTAATTCCGTAAGTAGAGGGTCCACTGTAAAGATTTCTATGAATAGACAGATAGAGTGGTCATGGGGAGCCCCCTCAGCCCAGTTATAGCAGACTTCTACATTGAACATTTTGAAAAACAGGCCCTGACTTTGGCACCCTTCACATCCACAGTCTAGTTCTGATATGTGGATGACACCTTCACAATTTGGAGCCACAGTGAAGAAAAACTGGAAAAATTTCTAAACTATCTCAATAGCATCCTCCCAAATACACAATTAAATATGGAAAAAGAAATAGAGGGCCAAATCCCATTCTTAGATGTCATTGTCATACACAAACCGTACCTCCTATTGGGACACAAGGTCTACAGAAAACCCACCCACACAGACTGGTACCTACACAAAAACTCTAACCACCACTCACAACAAAAAAGAGGCATAATCAAAACACTGCTCGACAGTGCAAATCGGAACTGTGAAGCTCAATTTCTCAGCACCAAACTCAGCCATCTGAATTGGGCCCTACAGGCAAATGGCTATTCCAAGAATGAAATCACAAGAGCCATCAAACCAAGAAAACACCACCAAACTGAAGAGGAAACACAGCCACCCCAAAATAAAGTATTTCTGCCATACATCAAAGCAAACTTTTGAAAAAAACACAACCTACAAACAGTATTCAGGCCCACCACAAAAATACAACAAATGTTACAGTCAGCGAAGGAGAAAAGGGACCGCCTCACCACTGCAGGAGTATATTGGATACCTTGCAGTTGTGGCCAGGTTTATATTGGAACCACAAAATGCAGCAACCACATCAGAATCAAAGAAAATGAGAGACACTGCAGACTAAAACAATTGGAAAAATCAGCAGCAGCTGAACATGCCCTGAGACAAGGTGGACATGAAATCCTATTTCAAAAGACAGAAGTACTGGACAACAATCATTATGTTGGCCTACACAGGGAAACCATTGAAATTCATTTGTTATTTTAAAGTACACAGATAGACACACTGGATGAAATCCTCTTGTTCCTAGCTCACATGTGCAGTATGTGCCAATACAACACAGTGGTGGAAGTTCTGTTGTGGAAAAGGCATAACTTTTGGAGACAGTTTGCCTCAAGTAAAGAAATCACCATAGATGTGACTTTTTGCATGCCAAACTATGCAACTCAGGATGCAATAGATACTCTCTGTGGAGATTTTTGCACCTCCAAAAGCAGTGATGGTAAACATTTTTGAGCCCGAGTACCCAAACTGAAAAAAAAAAAAACACAAAGCAAGCAAGCAAGCAAACAAACAAACTAATAAAACCCAACCAACCCAGTTGGTTGCGGTGGCAGTGGTGGCGGAAGCTGAAGTGGTGGTGGCAGAAGCAGAAGTGGCAGCAGAAGAGGGAATCCTGGACACGGAGGGGCCTCCAGACTCCACTCTGGATTCACCTCCAATCATGTCCAACCCTGCCACTACCTATAGCTTGGCTGACCCGCCGCTGTCAGTACCAGCTGCTCTGTATCCTGACCCTCCGCCTGGTGGGGCATTAGCAGTGTGGTTGCCTTCTCAGGTTTGGCTGCCAGGGTAGCAATCCAGTAACTTATGGCTCATGTGCCCACAGAGAGGGCTCTGTGTGCCAGCTGTGGCTCACGTGCCATAGGTTTGGCATCACTGTCCTAAAGGCATGATGCCGAACCTATGGCGTAGGTGTATCAGCACAATGGGTGTTGTATTGGCACATGCCGCACATGTAAGCTAGGCTGACACACAACTATCCAACTGACTCCCCCACTCTCAAAAATCTCTGAGGACACTCTTTTAAGGAGTTACTATTCTGATGTATACATTAATCCAAGTCAAAAGTACAAAACAACAACAACAACAACAACAACAACAACAACAACAAACAGACCTAATACAATTTGTTGA